TGATTGCGACTCATTTCACGGCAGTTTGTGCCCGAATCAGCCCCTCAAAATTCCATCACGAAGTTTTTGTTAACGGAGGAAGTAGTAGTACCACAAAACCCACAGGCAAAGGCTATCAACAAGGCACCGACACGAGGAGAAACCACAACAGCCCAGCTGTCAATTACGGCAAGAAAAAAACTTCATCAACTCGACTGACTTGAATCTACACTTGACTGTCCCCGGGGAAAATTGCGGAAAAAAATCGCAAAAAACGCGGGGAAAAACGCGCCATAATATGGCATAATTTGCGGTGAATTTGCGGTAAATATGCGGTAAATATGCGGTGAATAATATTGATGTGCGGCAATTTTCAGTGAGTATGTAGTGAAATCAATCAGTTACAACTCTCTGGTGTAAGCACTCGTCATATTTGAGTAAAAAGCCGCCACGATGAGACGTTGCTGGCCGTACATGCAGTGCACTGTGTGTACGTGTAGTGTAACAAAAAAGTTCAAAAAACGCGGGAAAATTGCGGAAAACGCGGTCTTTTAAAAAATCGCAAAAAACGCGGAAAAAAACGCGGCCGCGGAATTGCAATTTTCCCCGGGGACAGACTTGACGAAAAATTATTTTACTCAAAATGTCCAGAAATAGCAATTCACTTCGTAGTCTACATCAAATTGTTGCATGTTTCACGACGAGGAATGTGCGAAATAATTGCCGAGGATGTTCTCCCTTATACGGTTTTCATATTCCATACTTGTACTTGTACTGTTGTAGTTGTACAAAAGTCATGTACCGGTATGTGTAATAATATAAAACACATACCGGTACATCATGGTACATGTATGTAATTGTTCCTTTTGAAGTATTACTATTACTTACAGTGCGTTTTTTTATAATAGACTCTGAGTCTGAAATCCTTGAGAACGTACTCAAGGCCACTTTTGAGAAAATGTCATGCGAGTTGCGTCACGAAAATCTGCGCGCGAAATTCGAAAACCAGGTGTGACTCGTGGCATTTCGCCATTTTGTTCAGAGAGGCTTCGAGCTCCTCGTGGCCGGAGGAATCATTTTGTTGCTGACTGCTCTGTGGCCCTATTTTGCTTTTTCTCAGGGGCGTACATAGGGCGGTTCCCGGGATGCCCGGGAACCAGTAAAATAATTTCGATGTGGGTAGATCTACGGAGAATGTTTTGATCAAGGCCCAGCGTGCATGCAGTGCATGCATGCCTAGGCGGCGTAGTCGCCTGCAGTCCGCCTGACCGTCCGAGGACGGTGACAAGGCAGGGTGTAAAAGTGCTGCTGAGGCATTTTTGTGACACAGCGTAGATCTACTGAACTTACTGGGTGCAACGAAGTCTCTACATACGAGTTACAGCGATTCCTCGATCTCAGAGTCATTTCCTTTGCAGTTTGTTTCGACAAAGTTGTTTACGTTTTTGACGATGCTTTCGCTTTGTGGAAAAGAAAAATGAAGAGTCGACATCCAGAGGGCCAGCGCTCTATTCAGAGCTATTGTGAGCAGGAGGCAAAGCGTGTAGCCAGTGACGAAGGTCAAGCGATAGATGAGATTGCGGACGCACCTGACTTCCAAGTGAAGTCTGCAACGAGCAGCACAGAGGACGGAATCGTCGGCGAAGCTGTAGAGCGACCGTTGTTGGAAGCTGCTGGATCATCCAAGACTTACTTCAGTGACATTGGAGTGTGTTGGATAGGATATTCTGAAAGTGTACCTCCACGGTGGAATCCCTGATTCCTCCGAAATTTGCCATACATGGAAAAGATTTCCGTCATTGAAAATCATTGTGCGCCACTAGCTGCACTGAAGGCGAAGGATTTCGTTTCCTGTGCGTGTCCAGACGGGTGGCAAACAGCGCCGCTTTCAACTATCCTGGTTGGAGGAGTTTCCCTGGGTAGTCTTTTGACCGGCGTGCCATGGTGGCTTCTGCTTGCCCTGTGTAATGTTTGCTCCAGGTGATTCGAAGTTTGGGCAGCTTTACCGCAGTCCTCCCGAGAATATAACCCGACTCAAGACTGAGCGTGTGGATGTGCTTCAGCGACTCGTTTCACGGCATAACATGAAATCGTCCTGCTGAACAAAACATCCATAAAAAATGCCTTGGCAAAGTTCAGTCTTTTTAAATCAAATATGCGTAGCAGTGACATTATCCAGCAGTTTATGCAGAAACTCCATCGGATACGTATAAGAGCACTAGCCGTGTGGAATTATGTTGGTTGATCAGTTGGCATGGGAACCACTTCTAGAGGCGAGCGGTGTACGCCCCTGTTTCTTGAGTGTCTTTTCGTTCGTGGCAACTTGTTCTCTCGACATGCCACATATAACAAAGCGCGAACGGGCCATGGTAGAATCTACATGGTGGTGTCTGTTTTACAATTTTTGCGAAGACGAGGAAAACAGTGGCTGGGCATCGAATTGGTCCCAAGTATTCCATTCGTCATGCTGCTGTTGCGTGTGGCGTCAGCATTTCCACCATGAACAGATGTACCAGGGATGCTGACGGCGAAAATCAGCGTGCTGCGTTGGCCTTGTCTGTCTCCAGTGATGAAGGTAACGAGAGTGACAATCCCCAATGTGAGACTCGTGCCATAAAACCACTCAACCCTGACGGATTTGCTTTGGACTGTATAAGAAGTAATTTACAGATTCTATGCTGCGAAGGAGCACCCAACACTGGACAAAGTTCCTGCTCGCTGCATAGAAAGCATCGACGATTTTCCAGACATGAGCAAAACTAGCTCTTGGAAAATGTTGCGTTCCATGGGATTCCAGTGTGGCGAGACCAGAGGTATCACACACATGATGATGGAACGGCACGGGATTGTGTCATGGCGGCATCGCTACCTGTGAGACATACCTGGATGACACGTGGGTCAATGCGCGTCACACAGTTACTAGGAGGTGGTCCGACAATGGTGACAGGAGTGTATAGGCAAGCAACCAAATGAAGCACCATCAGGTAAAGGCAAGCGCTTTATTGTTCTGCATACTGGTGGACGGGACGGATTCGTGAGAAACTGCGCCGATGTGTTCGTGACTGGAGGCCGACGCCAACGATGATATTCGTCGTCGGCTGTCCTAGCACATCTGTTCACTGTGTAATACTGTCGTCACAAGTGCAACACAAAACACGGAATTATTGGGGCCGTTTCGACGCTCGCTGGTCTTCTACTATTCGCAGATGTTGAACCAGACACAACTGTGACCTATTTGCATTGTGTGTGTGTGTGTTTGTAAAACCGCTCATGTATTGCTTCCTTTTAGTCTCTTTATGGGTGCTGTGTGAATTGCCCTTGTGATTTGTTGTGGTGTTTGAATTTTCACTGCATTCTTTCAGTGATCGAGGGAAGTTTCCTACATGCATGCTGGAATGTTTTGATTTATTGAGCTAATTGCAATACAGGATTTGAATTATTCAGTACAGTTTGCCACAGTAAGTCGTGAAAAACCACGACTCACTGGTTTCCTACAAAGGTTAGGACAACTGCAGACAGGAGTGCACAACTGCACAGTCTACTTCAGTACTTGTAGTCATGTACGTGTACATGCATGCGCTGTACCAAAAAGAAGAGAAAAAAGAATCAGGATGAACTGTACTGGATTCGAACTCTGGCGGACACCATGCACGTGATGAGCTTTCCTGGCTAAAACTTTCGTTTTAAAATCAAAATCCACTGAAAACCATTTAAAACCAGATTTTCAGCCCAAACCCGTCCGAATATCTAACTTTGACAATTATTATTATTCCGATTCCCAAACTTAATTTTCTTCGATCCAAGACCCACACAAACGCAGCTGTGAAGAAAAAATTTCAAATTTGGAATGAGAACAAACTAAAAAATCAAAATCGACAAATGTCTGTTTTAAAAAAACGCACTGTAGTTCTGTTTTGACTTTTCCGCGTTGCAGACAGTGTTGCTGTTGCCGTGTCAACGTAGCGTTGCTTGCTTCCGCCCCAGGCCCAGAATCTCCACCTGCGCCTACGGGATGAAAGCTCTTCCGTAAAAAGATATTCAAACAATACGACATGGAAAGAAGGAAGAACACCAAAGATGCTAGTACACTAAAGATACAAGGGATGAAACTCTGCGTCACTAGTTTTCCGGAGGAATTCCCTTCACTCTTCAGTCTTCACGGCTTCAGCGTTCTTCTGAAAAAAAAAAAGCCACGGCGCGATAACCGTACTTCCGCAACATTCGTAGATCTACGAAGCTCGAAGTCAGAGGTTTGCGTCACGTCAACCTTGTGCCTGTCGACCTCGTCCAGGCTGAGGCTCGCCTTGCTAGGAACTAGACTGTCTTCACAGCCATTTTAGCTCCCTCCTGGACTGTTTTCACAGCCATAGCTTCCTCCGTATAAGACTGTTTTCACAGCCATTTCAGCTCATTTTTTTCAGCGCTTGGAACTTTTTTAGTCAGAGGTTTGTCGCCACCATACCAGCCGTTTGCACGTGGATCCAGTACTCACTACGTCGTTACCTGCACCTAGCTGGGGCCATTCGCCAGAACGCGGGAAGCATGCACGCTCTGTTTGCCACCGTATTTGTATGAAAAGTTGAATCGACTCAAACACACACACAAGTGTTGCCTTTTCCAGCATAATGGCACTGGTATGGCAGTATGTACAGTCATGTGTCTTCCTTCGTACGTTTGGTACCGCGTGGACATTATTACATGTTCCCTGACCTGGTAATCCGGTCCCGAATTGGGTTTCCGAAGACAAGACCAGAGGCTTGTTCAATACTAGTATTCTGCTGATCACTTCCCAAGCACAATCAGATCTTGGTGTGAAAAACAGACGCAGTTCACCACAGTGCACTTCTGATCGGTGGTGAAAATAATCATCTACGCGCATGAATGCTGCGTAGACTAGTGATCATACTTCGTAGCTACTCGGTCATCCCCCACGGGAACCACAGCCTGCCATTGGCGGCGAGGAGCTTGTCACGGTGTTCAGTGGAGTTGCCAACTGCAAACTTTCTTGCGAGTCCAGTACTGTAAAGGTGGCATGACTAGCCAATCTGGGCTCGGCGAATGTACTGGCCTGTAGCAGACAACAGAAGTGCAGCAGCAGCAGCAGCAGCAGCAACGGAGTCGGAGAAGCAGTGCTGGACGATTTTTTTAGCAAGTCCGGACGGAACCTGCTCTGGCTACTGTCAAAACGACGGCCCGCTGACCATCAAGCCATTCGTGTGCTAGTAAGCATTCAGACAGTGTTTTGGAAGGATCGCGTTCTCTATGAGTCCATCAGTGGTTTCGGTGCCGAGCACTTAGTTGTCGGTGCGTGAGAGAAACCGCTTGGCATTCAGCTTCCTCGGACAGCAAAGCCTTGCGATGAATTGCTAGTAGACGAACATTGGGTCGAGTCATCGACGGACTGCTGCGATCCCGCTACTCGCTAGTGTTGGATACTACACGCTGTGATCCTCGCCACCTGGATGAGTTCTGCGCCCCTAAGCGATAGCTGCCAACCAAACGCGCTAGGTGTTGGTGTTCGCAGCAGAGCCGCGGGGCTGACCTGATCTTGCAGCCTAAACGAGGCTAGAGAGCGGCGCGGAGCTGGGCTGTGGCAGTTGCCTTCCTCTCTCTCTGTTCCGCTGCATCGCGGTGCACCTACGCCTAGGGTCGTCGTGTTGTGTGTAGAGTATGCTGGGAAAGTCCGCAGAGTCATCACCACCGACCATGGCACAATGTCTTCAGCCAAGAACAAAGATCCCCCAATACAGCGGCTGCAGCAGATACACAGCAAGAAGAGCTGCTACTAGTGCTAGGAGCGGCGGTTGCTCTGATTTCTGTTGTTCTTTGCTAGTCAGCAGCAGTAGAACTGCCAGTAGCCTTCCTAGTGTGCTGTACTGGTTCATTGTAGCACTGGTGTTTCTTGAAACAAAACACAGCCATCTTGTAGCGGCAGCAACAACCACAGTGTGCCGTCCAGTGCCTGCTAGTGCAGGCAGTGTGCCTCTGGACGTATGTGCGTGTGCACCAGCAACTACAACACTGCGTCCGTGCAGCAGCGATTGGCTAGCGTCGACGACGCTCGACAGCACGGAGCCGGTCATGGATCACCGGGGACAGGCCTGGACGCCGGGCGATCGGGAAGAGATCTCCGGCATACACTGTAATATTTCCACGTTTCACGTGCGACTGGGTCGCGTCGTACGGATCAAGCCGTGGACCGGCGGTACCGGCGGTCGTTTGGCTCTGGAGGTCACCGGCAATGTTGTTATCGAGGGTTCGTTGGATGGCAAGGCCAGCGGGTATCGCGGTGGCCCTGCCCGCATTGGCGACACCGACACGATTGGACACCAAGGTGAGAGCTATGCCAGCAGCAGTGGTAGCAGCAGCAGTGGTAGTAGCCCCTCCACTGCAGCAAGCACCAGGAACGGCGGCGGTGGCGGTGGTGGGAAGCTGCGTGTCCTCATTACCGGCTCGTTCTTCGTAACTGGCCGACCGGGTGCGGGAGCAGGCTACGGTCGTGTGGGTACGGACGGCACCTCCATGGTACCGACAGACTTCTCCGAGGCCGGTGAGTTCTTAGGTTCTGCTGTGTATGTTGCTGTGTTGCACGTTATGTCGTGTGTTCATCGTTTGATCTTAACATCAAATCGGACTTTGAGAGATCGGCCTGTTTGGGGGGCCTGTCCAGGAAGGTAGACACATCAGCATTTGTCCATCCCTACCACATGGCCACCCCTTCCAAAACCCATCAACTGACAGATATTCGGGCATTCACATGCAGGACGAGCGCAACATTGCAAGCACGCTCACAGTACACTCAGAACATTGCCTTCGTCTTCCCCAGCAACTCTAACACAATAGCTCAGAGTGTACCCTGAGTGCGCTAAGGATGCTCTGTTTGTCCTGCATGGGAATGCGCGCATATCTGTCAATTGTTGGGTTTGGAAGGGGTGGCCATGTGGAGCGGATGGACAAATGCCAATGCGTCTACCTTCCTGGAAAGGCCCCCAAATAGGCCGATCTCACTGATCATCAGTGCAGCAATTACGGGGGTATTGCGCGCCCTAAGGACGCATTGCTTTGAGCTCGAAATCCCCGCTCTACACTGCACATGTACATGGAGGAGGAGGGGTGCACACTATGTTCCGGCAAATATCCTACAATGTCATGTAGTTTGGCTAGTTTCGTTTGGAGCTTTTGTGCTGGCATGTTCATGTTTTAGCACTCTGCACTGTGCTGGGCTTGCCAAACACAGTCATTTATTTTAGGTGTCCAGTAGCAGCTGCATTTCCTCTGCCATTAACTTAATAGGCACCTTGGGACACCCATGGAGCAACTAGCAGCCTTTCCCAAGGTGCACTGAATGGCTGTATAGGTAGTCTGTGTAGTAATGATCTGATCTGTAATGGCAAGCATGCATGGCTTGCCTAGCATCACATTTTCCTGATGTTAATCTACATGTGAAAGTTGGGCAGTCTTCACCACCTGCAGTTCCTGGCCAGACAGTTATTCACTACTGCAAAGGTGGCACAGTTCACAGAGTGGTGCCATCAAGCAATCAATCTCCTAGATTGAAGGTGACTTGTTTCTTAGAGTTCTAGCAAGGGAATGTGTGACCACTCTGTCGTCAGTACCGCCCTCTAAGACGAATGATTAATTTGATTTAAAACTTCCTTTATAATCGCCAGACGCAGCAAATAGGATTTTTGATCTTTGACCACTTTGTGGTGTGTGTGTGGGGGGGGGGGGGGGGGGGTCCACTCACCTCCCACCACTTTAGGAGCTGCATCTGCGCCTTGATCCTAGAGGGTGGTGGCAATCCTGCGGATGCGGAAAACTCAATTTGACTTCTCTCCGTCTCTCTCTCTCTCTCTCTCTCTCTCTCTCTTTCTCTCTCTCTCTCTCTCTCTCTCTCTCTCTCTCTCTCTCTCTCTCTCTCTCTCTCTCTCTCTCTCTCTCTCTCTCTCTCTCTCTCTCTCTCTCTCTCTCTTTGCCTCCTTAAATGGTGTACATGTAATTATTGGCATATTGTTTTAAGCGGCCGGAAATTGTTCTGCTGGCACTTATGTCCTCTCCTTTTTTTGGTATGCACCATACTGTCTTATCGGAGGCAGTTCCAGCTCTTTTCAGTAGGCAAGCATTGGAACCAACACTGAATGAAACTTTGCAGGGTCTCTTTCGCTGCATTTGTGCAGTGGGATTGTTGTAAATCTTTATCACATGCTATTTTGAGCAATGTTGTTCTCTGCTTTGGCACTCTTATGTCTTGATTTTTGCATGCCCATCATGGCCCTGCCAGATTGCAATACTTCATCGAACGTCGTGTTGTTGATGGGAGCTGTTATCTGCGAATCAGCGGCTCCGTGTTGATAGAACTGTGTCCTTCGCCCTGCTGCGCTGCTGAGCTGCAGAATGCGTTACCGGTGTGGGCTTGCTGTTCCTCTGTCTGCTATCAGTGGTGTGGACAGGTCGAGTGACAGGTGACTGTCAACACTCCAACCTGGCATTCGCTAACGCGTTGCATGCCCGCGCCTGGCCTGACCTAAAATTCCTTCGTGATAGCACGCTACCTGTCAAGCCTGTTCGCACTTCAGCAGGACGACGTCGACGACGTCTGCTTTTGTTTAGTGCGGCCGGTGAATGGCATTTTGCCTGATCTTCCTGGTGGCATGTTTTGCACAACGCCACGTCGTAATTGCACGGAAAGTATGCGAGTGCTTGCGCTGGCAGCAGTGACGGTTCACTGAGTCGCGGACTTCTTCAGATTTCCGTTGCCATTGTGGTGGCCGGCGGGCGAGTATTAGTCCAGGGGGCAGGCCATTGGGGTTGTTTGATCGCACGACCCTCTCGCAGGGTGCAGTTACATCCCGTATTCCAGTGTACTGTTACTTGCTTGGCCATGGCTGAGTAATGGCACAATCATGCTCAGTATCCGGCTCATTGCGTCGGAGAACGTGCAGCACGGCAACTCGCATTTCCCTGCACAGAGTGGATCATTGTGGTCTGATTTTGGTGGGAATATTTTTTGTTTGACCCGTCAAGTTGCGGTTACCGTGAAAAGATTGATCACCACCTTTTTGTGGATCCGTTGGCTTGTGTTATCTTACCCGCGAGATAGCAGGGTCACGCTTTTGGTACGCATCAGCCAGGATACTAGTAGTATGGCATCCGTCTTGTTACACGTTTTGTCTTTATTCATGGATGGGTGTAGCGTGCTGTGGCCACGGCTCATTTTTAAGTTTTTAGAAACTATTTTCCTTCATCTCGTCAGCGTTCCTGTACGGGAACAAGAGTTTTGACTCCCCTTATTTCACAGTCAGTCACAACTAGCGCATCAAATCTCTTTACGGGTGTGAATGTGTCCACTGGTCTGTAGTTGTAATTCAGTGATACAGTCAGACCTCGCTTATCCGGTCCTCGTTTATCCGGATCCCTCGCCATCCGGAAGAAATTCGTTGGTTACCGATTTACAGCATTTGCCATGTACACATACAGTGTGCGTGTCAGATTATCCGGTTCCCTTGCCTATCCGGATATTTTTCTGGAAAACGGATGTGTGCGGTTATGCGAGGTCTGGCTGTACATGTACAATTGCCGACAATTTCAGTTTATAGCGCCAGTAGGGGAAGTGTTGTGCGAAGAAAAATCTCAGCCCAGAGCTTAGCGAATCTGCTAGTGGTGTGCTCTTTCGGTGCCCCCTGGGCCGGGTCTAATCCTAATTAAAGAGCTCTTTACGAGCAGCATAGACTCGATCCGCTTCTGCTGCCTGTCTGCCCGATCCAGTGCACGTTGCCAGTGTCGTGTACGACCAAAGTCTCCACCAGCCAAGGTAGGTGCGGCGGCGTATGCCAGAAGACTACCCGCTTTATGTGTTTCAAACGCAAAATTCGCCTGCATCTCGGTGACCAATGTATATGAGATGTGCGCGCTGGATTCTGTCAAACATAGGACGGGGTCATGTTTCAGGCGATCACCACAAATCCTGTTCACAGTAACGCCGTCTTAACGTTATCTGTATGGCTCCTTGTGCATTGTTGCTGCAGGCAATACGTATGGTGATTCATGCCTTTCCTCCCTGTATCCGGGCTCTGGCGGCGGTGCTGGTGCCAACTCTGCCCAGCCCACGCTAACACCCGAGGGCGGTCGCGGTGGAAATGGCGGCGGCGCCGTCTTCATCTTCTCCACGAGCGGCAACATCTCCGTTGCAGCGGGAGGTGAGTGAGTAGGAGCCGTGCTACATCTAGCCAGCCTGGGTACAGTAGTTTAGGAGAAAGCAAGGAGAGCCGAGTTTATTCTGTCCTCGCCGTATTGTGCCTTGTGTCTGCATGTTAGCGTTCTAATGAGGCCCTAGAGTAACCCCAGGCCAGTTCCAATTCAGACTATAAAGTGACTGTTATGTGTATGCAAGCCATCCTGGGCATTAGGCATGTAGTTGAATACTTTCGGCTCCATGGGATTGAAGTGGTTTTGTAGTGATTATGAGTTTGTCTTTCTTGCTTACTGGTGTGAGATACGAGTATTGACCGTGTTTGAACAGACTGGCGAACGGGAAGCAGTTTTTGATTGGTAGGTCTGGCCATACCCTAAGTTTTTCATACTCTGTGTATGATATGGAGAGTATACACATGACGTCCTCAGCAGTAAACACACGTTGGTGGTCAAAAGGTTGATCAGGCCACGGCCTGACCAACCACGACCAACCGGACCGGTTCCGCCGGGCCTGTTTTGACTGTGTGTTGACTTGGATGTTGACATGCTGTTTGCCTTCTCCAGGATCAATCCTGATGGATGGTGAGACGGGGGCCGGCGATGGTAGTGTTTGCGGATCCTGTCCGGCCAGCTGTGCCTTTCAGTCGGTCGGCGCTTGCCAGTCGAGCAACAACACCGTGTGTCATGACTTTTCCGGAGCGGGCGGCGGCGGCTCGGGAGGTTAGTGCTGCACGCCTAGCTCTAAGAACACTGTATGAGAGACAAGTGTATGCCTCTGTATGATCTACATACATGCATGCTATAGTACTCACACACGATACACGATCTACGGACACTTTCTCAGATATCATATGATAAGCTGGTATTCCTCGGATTACATCTCGTTGAAGCAGCGTCGGAGAAATCCGTCCTTTTTTCTATAGCATTCACTAACTTTGCTCTATAGCTCTTCACTTCTCCAACTCCAAAAAGGTTTACAGACAGACTACTGTATAAGTACAAAGTTTCGTTTGGAATTAACTTTCGCTATATTTGTTTAGAGGGCACGAAATAACGAAAGTTTGTACCGAACTAAAGTTTTTTTTCTGAATGTTCGGGCTGACAGACCTCGACCAAAAACGAAATTTAGTACGTAACGAACCTTCTAGTGGAGGGATATCTAAAGAAAGATTTCGTAAACGAAAATTTGTATTTATACAGTACAGGTACCGTTAAGTCTTGTATAAAAGCTGCACTTGAATAGAAGCCGCACTTGAATAGAAGCCACCCTCGAATAGAAGCCGCAATTTTGGGCCCATCAAATCACACATAAGCCTGGTTTTAGTGTTGACATGCATAGAAATACCTGTCTTGTATAGAAGCTTGTCTCATAGAAGCCTGCAAAATTTCACCAGGAAAGTCATAGAAGCCGCGGCGTTAATACAAGACTTTACGGTATTAGAACACTTACACTAGTATAAGTTGAACCGACTGTATAACCTACGTTGATAGTACTGGTACTGGGGTTCCGCTAGGCTAAATCCCATGCAGCATGCAGCGGCGAGTTGCCTAGCAGCAATTACCAAGCAGCAGTAGCTGCCATTTTACATGGACTGACCGATTGTAATTCTATTCACACAGTAATCAAACCGACAAGCATTTGCTTTGACATCATTCTTCCTAGTCTCATGTATTAATGCTAGGTGCTTTCCATGGTGTTTGCACCTGAATTTGTATCGTCCCAGGTTCTATCCACTTGAGTGCTGCAACAGTGGACATACAAGGCAGCGTGGCTGCAAGAGGGGGCCGGGGTGGCGTCGGAGCCTTTACCTTGTCTGGCTGTGGTGGTGACGGCGGTGATGGCCGTGTGCGGATAGGTGAGTGAACGGGCCTTGTGCTTGCAACACTGGTGATGATGTCATGCTTGTAGCACTGGCAAAGATGTCATGCTTGCAGAACTGGCAATGACCTCATGCTTGTAGCACTGGCAATGATGTCATGCTTGGAGCACTGGCAATGATGTCATGCTTGGAGCACTGGCAAATTGTGGCAATGACATCATGTTTGAAGCACTGGCAGTGACATCATGCTTGCAGCACTGGCAATGACGTCGTGCTTGCAGCACTGGTAATCACACGCATGGGTCGCAGGCATGCCGCTCTGTGGCATATGCTAAGCTGTTGTTGACGTCCATTTCATCTTGTGTACTCTCCTAGCTCATGGTCTAAAATCATACTTTTACAATTCCCATGTTTCACTTCAGCAGCACTACCACACACCAGCACTTGCTTTGGGAAACTGTCCTTCTTTAGACAAGCATCATGGGTTTCTTTTCTTTATCCAAACACTCTCGCGCATAATCTCCATGCTGCGAAAGGCCCTCCATACTCACCGAATGTTCCGGCGTTGTCCAACCACATGGTGGAACAATCAGGCGAACGGCAAAGGAATGGACTAGATGTGCCATGTAGTGCAGAAGAAAGTGACAAATGCCTCACTGTTCACGAGTCTTGATGGCCCTTGGCGGTCTGTCACACTGTATTTTTCACAGTGCCCATCATATCTTTATCTCCGCACCTACAAGTAGCCTCCTTGCTGCAATGACACGTTGCTGTGTGCACGTGCTTGTTCCTGCTCTGTACTTGCAGATGCCAATCGCATAATTGGCACTTCCAGCCCAGCTCGCGAGAATGGCGATGTATTCTCGTTTTGCCCGTGCAATGGTAAGTGCCTGATGTTGCTAGTAACACTGTGCTGTGCTCTACAGTCAACTTCGCTTATAACGACATTCGGCGGGGCATCAGAAAAGTGTCCTTATTCGCGAAGTGTCGTTATACCCGAAGTCTCATTATATGTATTACAGTTGGATGGGACTTTGCTCTGGGCATGGAAATTCTGTCGTTATTCGCGAATTGTCGTTATATCCGCAGTCGTTATTGGCGAAGTTGACTGTACTTCAAACCCGGAAATGCAAGACACCAGTGCTTTACATGGGGCAGATCCCCGGCAGTCAGTGCCTTGTGGGGTTCTTGAGATCTATCAAGTGGGGCGCTGAACCGTTCTGCACGACACATCCATTTCAAGGCATTTGGTGGACTTGTTGGAAGCCCCGTTGCCTTGGTGACAAGCCACAGCCAAGATTCACACACGACGATTTTCTTTGTTCTGTGCCATAGCTTCTGTCACTACGCCAAGCATCAGCACTACGCCCAGTCCGACCGCAACGCCCAATGCAGTTACAACAGCCAGGGTCAGCACCTCGCAAGCACCATCTGTATCCACTGTTGTTAGTGACACAGCCTCCAGATCTGTTTCTGCAGTGCCAACACCTGGTGAAAGTGAGAGTGTTACTACGGCTGGCGAACAGCCAGGCAGTCTGCCCCGGGGCGTATCTCTGCCTTCAGATCAAAGCCCTACTCCGACATCACTTAATCCCAGCCAGGTATGCACGTAGCTGTTCAAGCATGTACTCTCTCTCTCTCTCTCTCTCTCTCTCTCTCTCTCTCTCTCTCTCTTTCTGGCCATTTGTTCCTCCCAGGCGTCATGCCATCTTATAAAGATCCTTTCAGAACCAACGTCAACGCTGCTTTCTTCAGGTTTATTGGTCATGAGCACAAGTTAAGGTGTGCTGCAACGTGGTGTAGTACTTTTCACACATAAAGCGAAACTTCAGTACATCTATGAAACGTACCTCCCTGACATAATATATATAACAAAAAAAGTACTGTATAGCCATGGCTCACTGTACTGTATCCAACGTCGAATCACTGGAAAGGGATACTTTGTGTCTTCGAAAAAGTTTTTATATCCAATGCAACGAGAAAAGTAGTATGTTATTATATCCAAGGTACTTTATACTGAAATTCACCGTTCTATAGTCTTGTACATTACACTGGATTGTAGGGGTGTCAACGCGTAGTAGGGTACCCGTGCTACCCGTAATTTGATCGGGTAGTAGGGTAGCAATTTGCTCCTGAGAACCCGATCGGGTAGTAGGAGTACGGTGTTTTTGCAATGGTGCATGTAAACAGCACGGCTACGCGCTTACAGTACACTTTTTATGTAGCGAAAGTGCACACTCACAGTACATGCTGTGTCAAAAAAATACCCGATAGAGTACCCATGCTACCCGTATGGAGATACCCGAACCCGTTACCCGACCAAATCCCTACCCGTTGCAGCCATACATGCAGTGTGGCTCCTGGTTTGAAGCTCTTCCAAGTTCAACTTCCCATGAAACATTGTGCCTTGAACAGAGTTTGGCTCGGGGTTCAAGTGAAGCTTTTCCAAGTTCTAACTTCCCATGAAATATTGTGCCTTGAATAGAGTTTGGTTCGGGGTTTGAAGCTTTCCAAGTTCCAACTTACCATGAAACATTGTGCCTTGAACAGAGTTTGGTTCAGGGTTTTGAAGCAAGCTCTTTCAAGTTCCAACTTGCCATGAAATCACAACCCTACTGGCTGCATGCCTGCGTGTACCCAACTTACCCGTGATCCCCCATGCCGCGTCCGTTGCAAGCCTGGCTCTTTGTCTTGCCTACTCCCCCTCTACATGCAGGCTACCACTACGCACGCTGTAGATGTGGGTGGATTGAGCCAGGCAGCACTTTCCATGTGGCTGGTCGGTGTCATCATCGCGAGTGCTTTGCTCCTCATTATCAATTTGGTCATGATCGTCGCCTTCTGCAGAATCAGGAGGAGAAGGTAAGACATTTATTTTTCTGTGTAAACTGTCCTTATTTGAGTGTAGGCACTTTGCCTATATATGAGTCATGTCAAATGAAGCGGCGTGGGGCGTCCCTCAGAATTTTCTTCTTTTTACTTCTTTGGCCGGAAAGTACATTAAATTTTTTTGGTCTATAGACCTGTTGCACGTCTATCACATGACCATGCAGAGCCGCCATGTTGGTTCCAACGCCACGCAACACCTGCATCTATGGGTCACATGATGTCGGCCATGTTGGTTCCACTGTCCACATGCCATGATCAATTTCTACGCAAATTTAGTCACATGACCAAGATGTGGAACCAGTCTCTAGCAGGTCGAGCACGCATTTGTTTGTGATAAATTTCACGATGCAGGTATTGAGAATAGTGGTGACCAGGCTGGCTGGGTTACACCTACTAGATGTGCTAGAAGCTAGATGTGTTTGCCGCACGGCACTGGCTCAGTGATGGTATGTGGAGCAAATTGATTTTACCAGTCCACTTTATGTTTTTTTCTTCTTCCTGGAACCATCCTGTCGCTAATGGCCGGGTAATACTGCTAGTATTTATATAATCTACACTATGCATGCTGTGTTTTCTGACGCCTGTATTTCCGTTGCGTGTGGTCACAGGAAAAGCCCAGTGTCTATTCCGAATAACCAAACCCCTGCCTTCGACACCTACTCGCCACCACACCCTGGGCCCCTCTCCCGCTGTGACACGCAAGAGACAGTGACCAGCGCAACGCAGTGCATGATATGCCATCACATGGGACCGATGTGTGTATGGTAAGTAAACAGAACATGAACAGTGAGCCGCAATCCCGGTGCCAGGACTGTTCTAAATTAATAATTATTGAGATACATGAAGCTGTTATTGTGCCATCATGTCTTCACGTCATATGTGTGCGGTTTTTTGTGGGCTCAGCGCCGGATCAGATTGTATGCCCTACCCACTCTTGGTAGCACCATGTCACATTTTGTGTCAAAGTGAGGGACTGGGTCTGGTACAAGCCGCAGAGGTTTATTATGGATCGATATTTTATGTAAGAAAAGAAAGAAAAAAGATTAACTCCGGATGCTGTCAAACCACTTTTAGTAATCGGCGTTAAAATATGTGGTCTTACAGACTTACGGTATGTACAGTGCGTATCGGTTATAGTGTGGTCGTATACAAGAATATACTGCTTACAAGAATGAACACTCATTTTTTCATAATCATAACACATATTTTATGTGTATATTTATTCTTACAAGCAGTATTATCGCATAGTAGAATATATCGGCCCTAAGAATGGATTTTGTGTAGCAAAATATGCCAGATTAGCGCAAAGTGTATCGCCTGTAGTAATAACATCTGTGCTCTGTGCATACTCAATACAACAATTCAACACAAAAAGAGAGTTATGTCCAAGGGAGCATTGGAGAATCACTTTTTCTGTCCAGTCGGACTCTTTCTTTCGACTTCTCTCGTATCCGCTGCTCCGCAGTCGCCTAGCACGACCGCGAGTCTGATTGATCCGTGTGTACGTGTCCACATGCCAAACGTACTTTTAATTAACGTGCGGGCATATGATATGTCACACGTGATTTATCGTGTGTAAGAAATATCGGCAATAAGAATCAAATGTCGTTTTTCAAACACCCACGCTATAACCGATGCGGCTACTACCACTGTTTTTCAGCCAGGCAGGGGAATGCAGAGACAACCTAGTAAGCCAGCTGTTATCGCCGTGGATCCACTGTTCGCCTACACGCGGCAGCGAATTGTTTCCACACAACGACTCAATGAATGCCGCTTTCGCTGCCAGGCTGGTCAACTGGAGCGAGCACGCCGACGGAGATCATGAGAGCATCCGGCCATGGTGTATTGCGTGGATACTGGCACCAATCCAGTCACAACTGCCACATACCTGGAGAGTGATGGTGAGCAACTTACAACCATACTTGTGCAATTGTATGCCATGCATTCTGATGATGGTTATACTCGGGTGGCACCATACACTGTAAGTGTGGAATTCAATAATGTTCTGTATCCGATAACAATGGAAGTTTACGCAGGGAGTGGTGTTCTTTGCAAACCAAGCTTAATTTCCACAAATTGGGTGTCCCTGCTGCGTTCCTTCCTGCCCTTGGGACTGATCCGTTTAAAGGGTTTCTCGGTCGCCGAGTTACCTTGACTGGGTGATGGAGAGTTCACGGTCACAATGCCGATTGTGGTGCTCCATGGAGTGAATGCAAATCATAATGGTCATTCAATGCTCGGTAGAGACCTAATGCCCGTGTATACACTGAAATGGAAAGAACTCTTTACTGCCAAAATGGAAATGGATGAAGCAATTGAATTGGAAAAGTTACCGGAAGAGATCACTGCTGAATTCCTCAAACGTTTCCACGCTACCCACAATCCTGGCTCCCTCTTTAGTCAATTTCAATGGACCCTGAGCTGCAGACCCTGATAGAGGGCTTGCGCCAGAAGCACGAGATACTGCCGTGCACTGGTGATATCGGCAGTACCATCATCTGGCTGCAGAAGTTGTTACCAACTGAACTTGTTTGGGTTTGTCTGCTATCGGTCATGTCACTAGAGCACTGAAGGGCACACAGTAAATTTGCACCAGACGTTTCATCCTGAACCGGATGTCAGAGGAAGATCTCTCATAATAGGTCAGACTGCACCGCATCTGTGCACATGCAAACCGGGCCATCCGTGCAATGCACCGTGGATTGTTCCTGCTAGACCCTGAGTGCGCCTGAACTGAACTGCCACAAACACAGCTGCTGCAGTCATGGAGTTGGGCAAGGATATCCACTTTGCTATTGTGCTGTCCTGGTGTTGGAAGGTCACTAGTTTGGAGCTCCCCCTTACCCTTACATCTTCACAACACTCTCCAAACGGTCTCTGAGCTACACCAATCACTAAAAGAAAAATCATTCGAATATTCCACCACGGCCCATCTTCATTTGTTTGGAGAGTGTTGTGAAGACGTGTGGGTCTAGTGGATGGCTACAGTGAAGTATTCGCACTTTGAAAAGTGGAGCTCCCCTTGCCAAAACAATTAACCTTTTTTGAGAATTAAGCAAACGAGTTGTCATGCTAGAATATTACCACTACTTGAATACGGTACAGGGACATAGACACAACACCTACAGCTGTCAACATCTTGAAATAGAAAGGAAAGAATCGGGATAGGGTGTATGTAAGGGAATGCAAGGAAACCGTCTCTCCTTTCTCAGGCTTTCTGCCTGCGTTCCACGGCACCTGATGAGCAGGCATAACATTATTCTTTACATGAAAAGGCTTTCTGAAATGTTGCTTGTGAGGAGATTGCTGGTTCATGGGTCTGAAGTTTGTACTGTGTTTTAACTCTGTGTTTTCTTGTCTTTCGACCTCTAGTTTTCCTGCATTCCTTGGGTCCGTGTATGCACTGTTCACACCCCAATAACACGTGTCTCTCTGCTGCTCATTTCTTTCTCTACTTCCACAGCCCGCACCCGAAATTCGGCTCGCCCCTTTATATGATATGCTGAAAGAAGTAAGTTAGTTATGGGAAGACAAGGAGGCTGTTGCTGCCGGAATCATACAAGGGACTGACGGCTGCTGTTACCGGAACATTGAGACAACAAAGTGGTGCTGGTATTTATTATTATTATTATTATTATTAGAAAGGAAAAGGACATATGGAAACGAGTTAAGAGTAACTCTCCACCACTGTAACTAGATACTATATTATACCCGAGTTTCAAATTATTATTATTATTATTATTATTTATTCTTGTTTTGCTAGGGAATTCCCAACAGGCGGCGACGCCTTTTTACAGGGAACCCTATGAGCTTGCAATACACATCACCAACTTCTACAGTACATGCCACTGATAATGATAATATTAGAATTGATTTTGGTCTAACAATTTTTTTACATTCTACTAATGAACAGGTACTACATTGTAGTACGAGGTGATTTTATTTTTTATTTTTAGCCGAGTACAGACTCTTTTACGGGCAAAAGTAACACAATGATGAGAAACCAGGTATGATAGGAAGATAATAATTATTAATATTCACAGGTGCGGAAAATATGATTTGGCTTTTTTTTTACATTTGGCATTTTTGAACAAATATGTAAAATTTGCTTTCCTTCTGGCTGTTTCTCTGCGCCGGATGGCTGTATCGAAATATGGGTGGTGGCAAATGAGAGCCAGTTTATCGTAGATCAATATTGACCAGAAAATTTGGTGCATATAATTTAATTCTCCCTGCTACGTCGGTATAACTAGTGGTGGGTGCTTTGCCATTCAGGCAAAGTACCCACCACAAAGATGACTGCGATTGGCCCATATGTTGTAGTCTTTTGGACGCTTGAGTCGACTGGTTTTGGTCCAAGAAAGCTGCGATGCAGCGTTCCTCCGTTATTCCCAAACGAACATGGTTGAGCAAGCGGTCACGTGCTCCTGCGTCCCCAAGTCACCTGGTCACCGTGCCAGCAGGCGACAACTTTCACACCAAGGTTCAACTCGAGTTCAACTCGAGTGACAGGACTGCACCCAAAAAAGGTCAAACAGGCTAGTGATTGTACCCTGCATGCATGTTTACCAGGTGACTGGTGTACGCAGGAGCACGTGACCGCTTGTTAAACCATGTTCGATTGGGAATAAAGGAGGAACGCTGCATCGCAGCCTTTTCGGACCAAAACCAGTCGACTCAGCGTCCAAAAGACTACAACATATGGGCCAATCGCGGTCATCCGTGCTTTATAAGAATGAAATGGCGCTTTTAGTGACATTTTGCATACAAATCCCCATCTAGTAGGACGCAGTCACCCAGTTTCGGTGGACGAGCGCGAGTTCGATTGGGATTCAAGTAGGAAGGGAGCGTCTCAGCTTCCTCGGACCACGACCATTCGACTCAGCACCCCGACGACTACAACTGGTGAACATTTGATTTTAGGCTTAACTTCCCCTTTAATGTTCGCTCGCCCATGGCCCAGTATTCACTCACTAAGTAGCGTACAGGCAATGTTATCTGCACCGTTCGTCCTATTTATTTTATAGCAACTTTCATCTATTCCCTGTTGCACTTCTATGTCACACTTTGATTTGTGTCCTTTATACTAGTAGCCATTTGCTGGAGTTTAAAATGAATGGCATTCCATTCGTGCATTTACCCAATGCACAAATGTGCAACATGTACATGTATGTGATTCAGTGTTTTTCAGCAACCCGCCATCAGTCCATATTACAAAACTCTATGATCTCGCTCAATGCAGAATGCTGGCGGCGATATTTCCAGAGAAGTGGCAAAAATCTTTGCATTCGGAAATTGTTAGCATCGATAACGTTAGCTGGGGTGCGTGACACAGCTGCTGTGCTGTTGGCCAGCTAGCTGCAAGTGCCAGCCGGTCGTTGAACTACTTGAAAAATGTGTCATTGCGTTTGGGATACAGTCAGCCTCATGGGTAACGACCTCAGGTGTACAGTCAACTTCGCTTATAACGCCACTCCGCGGCGCATCAAAAAAGTGTCTAATATTAGCGAAGTGTTGTATACCAGAAGTCTCATTACACAGTCAAACCTCTTTAGGACGAACACCAAGGGACCGGTGGTATTTGTTTGCAATAACGCCGGGAGTTCTTCTTATCGGTATTTTGTACCCAGTGAATACACAGTAATCTATTTAATAAAGTTACAAATACTAGTTCTTCTAAAGCGAAAGTTTGTTGTATCAGTGTTCTTCTTATCGGTATTTAAGTTTGTTGTATCAGTGTTCTTCTTATCGGTATTTAAGTTTGTCGTATCAGTGTTCTTCTTAACCAGCTTTCACTGTATTATGTGCTACAGTTGGACTTTTGCTCTGGGCATGGACTTTTTGGCGTTATTCACGAATTATCGTTATATCCGCAGTCGTTTCGTTATATCCGCAGTCGTTTCGCGGATAACTATAATAATCTTCAGACCCGGTGACCATTGACAATGACTGTATACTTCCAACCTGACAAATAAAGATGGCTCGCGTGACGCTTCTCTCTTGCACAATCCAGGGGCGTAGTTTGCAAGATTGACTGTATTCGTATAACTATTTTCAACGAAGCCAAGCTCATCAGATGAAGGAGCACTTCACAACTGGACTGAGTACCATAGCCACGACTCACGGACATGGCTGTGTGACGTCATACAGTGATTACGGGTGACTCGGTCTTCAAGTGCTGCGGCAGGCCTGATATCGAACAATCATCTCGCTTTGTCACTCAGCTGCTCTCGAATAAGTTGCTTTTTGTCTTTCCATTACTCACATTGCATGCAAGCAAAGAGAGAGAGACAGAGAGAGACAGAGAGAGAGACAGACAGACAGACAGACAGACAGAGAGACAGACAGACAGACAGACAGAGAGAGAGAGACAGAGAGAGAGAGACAGAGAGAGAGACAGAGACAGAGACAGAGACAGAGACAGAGACAGAGACAGAGACAGAGAGAGAGAGAGAGAGAGAGAGAGAGAGAGAGAGAGAGAGAGAGAGAGAGAGAGAGAGAGAGAGAGAGAGAGAGAGAGAGAGAACGGGACAACAATAACCATGGCCAAACTGCAAGAAACGGCAAAAACTGCTCACCGACACAACTTTTGAATACAAAATCGAACAAAAAGAAACCAGTAAATCCCCCTTTCCTCTTATGTGTGTACCCTTGGGAATTGGGAGCCTTTAATACTACAAACTGCTCCTGGTTTACAGGAGAAAACAATCATGTGACCATGACCACAGGTGCCTGTGGTACTTTTGCCGGTGTGCCGCGTCAATTGTTTTAAATCGCCATAGAAACTCTCCCGAACTGATGTTTGAACAGTTTAAAAAAAGTAAATCGTCGTCTACGTTCCCTACGGAAGTCACGACGGCTGCTAACACCCGTAACATCCAGAGAACTGATGTTCACGGGTAGTGTTAGTATGTCCTTAGCAGTTACTGGCGTACTATCATTGTCTTGGATCTTACTGATGTAACCCTGTCTTTATGTGACTGCAGTCCGAAGCCGAACGGACATACCAATCCAGCGTACGGAGATGCCCAGATTCCGTTCAGCATCCCGGCATCTCCCACCCAGTTGCAGTCACCATCATCAGTAACCACACGTCACAGTTCAGTCAACAGCCAGGAGCCCTTGATACAGCCAACCGGAGCGCAGAACGGTGGTTCGCGTCACTACTCATCCAGTAATGTGATGCCCAAGCAGAGCGAAGCTCACAACTATGACCTGGTCGAAGGCGGACCCGGAACCGTGGCTACTGACAACTCGTTTCGCAATCCTAACTACGGCATGCGCATACCAGTCCAGTCTGCCTCGCAGGCTACAACGCCGCAGGGGCCGAAGAGCCCGGCCATGCCAAACTACGCCAATGTACCTGTTGACTCGCCGAACGAGTATGCCAATCATACTCCGGGGCATGCTGGCATCACAGCCCACGGTGGTGGTGGTGCTATCGTCGCCGGCCGGCAGAGATCAAGATCTGTGACCTCTCCCGGGTCGTCGCAAGACATTCGTATGGATGCCAGTGGTTACCTTCTTGCAGAGGGTGGTGGCGGCGGCGGTGTTGGCGTTGGTCCGCTGCATCCAAGGACCGCCAGCAATGCCAGTGCGTTTGCCATTCACAGGAGAGACGGTTCATCGCATAACTCGGTAACGTCACCAATGTCCGAATGTTCGCGTACGACTCAGATCACATCCGACGGCGAAGCGCCATCCGTTTTCCGCTTTCAAGATCACCCGAGCGCAGCAATGCATACTCCACAGGGTCAAGGAGTTAAGCCGCGCACATCATCTGCGCATTCATCACCGCTTGCCTCCCCTACCTCACCGCCAGGCCAGATGGCAGGCCGGGCCGATTCCGACGTGGTACGCAAGGACAGTGGGATTGAAGCGGACGCATCATGTTATTCGGTTGTGCCTGTTCCTGGCTTACCCGACGTCTTATCTGGCATGCCGCCTTCGGTCACGCAGCGTCTCGATTTCTGCCATCCGTCCGAGATTCGTCGACCGCCGAGCGCCGAACCGGCCAAGAACATGTCACCCATACCCGAGCAAATCTCACCCACTGGAGATGTACTGGTAGCCACACACGGCGGCGGTGCGAGTAGCGGTGGAAGACGGCATGGTGTGAACAGCCCGCCACCAACTGACTCGCTCCCACACCAGTATGCGCACATCAGCGAAATCCTGCCGCCGCTTCAACACAACGCAGACAACCAACAAGAGGAAGATGCAAATGCTTTCAGCGTGAGCAGCGTGTAACGTGATGGCTGAAGTGATCTTCAAAAGTGCAACATGTTCCTCCAAGATCAGTACCGGTATACATATTCAGAAAAAAACTCCAGATACTTCTAGTTTGTCTAAACTTGAAACTGTCCACCTCCCTCTTGTCTAAACTTGAGTAGAATATGAAAATGGAAAACTTGCTATATTTATTTCCTCTGCTGAGAAGTCACGGTGGACAACGGCCAAGGTGGAAGCTATCCATTTCTATCTCTTTTTCGGACTTGATTAGCACTGGTGTTAGCTTGATGGCGGTGCGTCACAAAGCTCAGTGTGCACCGTAGAGAGTGCAGCCCGTCAGTTTGTATATCCGTAGTCGTCATACTCACTGCATGGTTGGATTGTGTTGTTGCCGTAACAACACACAATGAGTGACACGATGAGACCGTACAGCTGTTTGAGTTTTCACTGACATCATCACTATGATACAAATGTATTGTAATTATACTGCTATATTAGAGTCCATCCCACATTGACTACCGGGTCATCCGGGTTTTTACTGTTCTTTTCTCTTGCAAACGTTTTTTGTGAGACATCAGAGCCTGGATATTCCGAGTCTGGATCAGGGAGTGGTTTGGGTAAAAAACACTCCCTGGCCCTAGTCTAGATATTCTGAGACTGAGTGAAGGCTAAATAACTCTCTGCAGTGATGCCACCATGTGGCCACTGTACATTTGCCCTGATCACGTAGTGACCCCGCAGTTCAGAGAGGTTCTAGATCAAGTCCCTGGTAGGTAGGGCAGCCTGCCGCATGCACATTGAGAATACGTTACATTTTCTGGCCACGGACCGTAGTAGGTCTGCTGTTGTGTTGATGAGAAAAAGATGGTGTCCCGAGCAGAATTATCCAGCAATTCTATCCCATTGTAATTTGTATGTTTATGTCGATGCTGACGAAGCTTTTCGAGCCGAATATGCAGTATTTCGGCAAGCTTTACATGTATGTGCAAACCCTCTATTGATGTGTTGGCCCACTAGCTGTGCTGCTTTCCCACACACACACACGTACATGACTGTACATGATAGAATCATGTACGTTATGTACAATCATGTACGTTATGTACAGTGGGTAAGAAACTACTTGGGTGTTACCATGGTAACGGTATACACGGGGGAGGTATCCCGACACCGTGCAGAACACAGTGGGAGTTACCATGGTGATACTATACAATCGGGAGAGGGGGGTGTTATCCTGACACCGTGCAGAACGTTGCATGTAAAACACGCCGTCAGGAGCTCCAAGGGAAATGAATTCAAATGCATTTATAAAGAAATCCTGCACTGCCAACCTGTGTGATCCACACATTCTCATCAACGGCTTCTTTGCACAGGTGCAATACGTGCCAAATAATTTTCATCAAAAACTGAAAAACTGATAATTATTATCATGATACAAGGTTGATGAGTTGACCCCTGCGTTACGGGCAGCGCCCGGATAAGAGACATTCGAGTGTATAGCACAAAGTACTCATGAAATCTGCACCGAGAGGCACCCAAGATTGACGGAAACTGAGAGACCGTGGGTGATCCCGCTTTCTAGACCAGAAACAAGGATGCAACGGTCAACACCAGACGTGCTCGGACGGTGGCGGGACGGCGATGCCGGCAAGGTAGGGACATGCTACGGTACTTTTCTTCAAGACCAGCACAGCCCGGAATACGGGTAGACAGGGAGAGGGGCGCACTGCTAGACATGCCAGCCACGGATTCGCCAGTGCTATAAATATTATGTGCTTGGCAAGAGCAATAAATAGATATTCTTCATACGCTTTCTGAAGGCATCCACCACAGAAAACAGTACTCGCATAGATGACCTGCAAGCCCCACCACATAATAAAATAAAGTAAATCAAAAAAGAGAAAAAAAGTGAAAGGACAAAAAACGAAACATGCCTATCTACAAGCCAGGTACTCGCCATGGTTACTTTGCTTGTTGGTTGGACATGTTGTCCATGGGCGAGTGTCCTGCCTCTGTTGCTGCTGCTGCTCCTGCAACAACATCCTCTTTCTCTCGCTTCGGTGTCAGGGCGTACGTGTAGACAAAGGCACCAGCCACGCCGCCAAGTAGTGGTCCCAGCCAATAAATCTGCAGAGGTGTGCCGATCAAGTGAAACAAGTAAAACACAGATTGAGTTAAAGGGGAAGTGCATCGATTTTTCGAGTAGGGTCCAGAAGAAAGACAATTTGATATCGGTTCGAATGGCGTATCTCTCGCTTCCATACGATAAGCCAAACTTGCCATATCGCCAATTGTATACACACGTTGCCATAGCGACCAGCACAGTGATGACGTATGAAAGGCTTAGCTCCTCCACAGAGACGGTCGATCACTGCAGAAATTGGTCATTTTCAATTGTCTTGTTGTATTCACGATGTGAAAGAAGCGCTGTATTCAATGCTGTTAGTGCCGTGAACTGTTTATCGGCCTTCTCCTACATTTCCCTAGGCCGACTGTGCCTGGGAAATGGTTCCTCTAGGAGAAGATGCTTGGTATTCGCCATCTCTCCTGAGACATTTTCAGCAAACTTTCAAACCTACGACATTATTTCATTCGTCAATCTCCGCCACCCGTCGTCTCACCTGGCTTCAGAAGATGTTACGAGAGATAGGAGAATCGCCAGGAAGCATCACATCCATCTTCAGGAAGTGGAAAGAGCAAACGGCATGGTCCTTGGTTGGAGGAAATGCTGAACGTCTGATTTGTCCCAACCAAGATTTCACTGCGGCATTTTGTTCGTCACTATTTTCGCTTGTCTGCTGATGTTTTCGCACTCCAACTTTCTCCTGTCGGTGTCACGTCCCAGTGCCCAACCGAGAGGACTACTAATAAACAGTTCACTGCACTAACAGGATTGAGTAAACCTTTGTGAATACAATAAACCAATTGAAAATGACCAATTTCTACAGTGAATCGACCTTCTCTGTGGTGGAGCTAAGCCTTTCGTACGTCATCACTGCGCTGGTCGCTATGGCAACGTGAGTATACAATTGCCGATTTGGCAAGTTTGGCTTATCGTATGGAAGCGAGAGATATGCCATTCGAACCGATATCAAATTGTCTTTCTTCTGGACCCTACTCGAAAAATCGATGCACTTCCCCTTTAAGTGGCACAGTTTCAAGTGTTATAAAACCTTATTCAGTGAAAGGATCACACTACTTTGCCAGAGCGTTGAGCAGGGTTGCATCATCCAATTTGTCGTCATGCCATGTTAATGTTAAAAACCAAGTTAACATCAGGACATCGTGAATCATGCGGGCGGTTTGTCTAGCTGCTCCAAACCTCTCCGTCTCTCTCTCTCTCTCTCTCTCTCTCTCTCTCTCTCTCTCTCTCTCTCTCTCTCCCTGTGCCCCCCCCCCCCCCGAGCAGATTCCAAAAACGTATTCTTTGTAGACAAAATTCTCACCCAGTGATCAGGGAAATCCCCTGTTACGACGGCTGGTCCGAAAGATCTCGCTGGATTCATGCTTGCACCAGAGAATGGAACCTGTGCACGCGTGGACAGAAGAAATCGGAGCATTCTGACAGAATTTCTGAGCCTTCCTGTTCGTTGTTCAAAAAAAAACATACAATGCATGACATGCAGCTGGAGAAGCTCGGTTAGGACTCAATGATATCGTATTTCAGACCAACAGGTTATTCCCTGTAAGAGTCGATGGTGAGAAAGAAACGGCAACGTTTGGTCCAGAAAAATGTTGCTATGTTCTTCCAGACTGGTGTGGATGCATGAACAGTAGAATCCCGCCAGAGCGCCCCGTCTCTCCCATGCGCCCCTCCCTGACTTCTTGTCAGGGAAGTGATTGATCGTATCCTATGACTCTGTGATGCCGTACTGCACTGAAGACGAGTGCTTGACCCCGTTGGAAATGTACACAACAATGCCCACCTTCTTGACCATGGATCGCACAAACCCCGAGTTTTGATGGGCCTGTACGACTCCTGGCTCTTGACCTTTGGTCGGTGTACGAGATGCACGAACAGTTTTCGTAGGGTGAGTACTTTTTCATTGTAGTACTGAATGCGGTAAGTAGGACTCGCCCATCCGCCCCTCCCCACCTGGACCTACTCGTAGAGTGGTGGAGGTAGGGGCGCTCTGGCGGGGTTTACGGTATATGTACTATATTAAACAATAGGTTATTCCCAAGAGCTATTGCTATGAGATTTACGTATATGTTTGTTTGGCAGTGGCACAGCAGATTTTCCCTGTGCTCACACAGTGCTCCATACCCTGGGCAAGCAGGCATGGGTTCCGCACACAGAGAGTAGAATGAGGTCTTGACTGGCAGCTGGAGTTTCGCGTGAAAGCGATCCACCCGCAACACAGTGACATCTGACACTTGTCAGTATCATTGTGTCGCTTTCAAGATGCCAATACCGGATGGCTAGGCATGACAAGGACGGAATGACGTGACATTGTTGTCACAGCGACCCGAATGGGTTATGGTGAAAAAAGGAGGACAAAATGTTACGAGTTATGACTAACTGTCCACCAACGTAACCAGATCTTATACAATCAGCGAGTGCGACAAAATGGCACAAAACTGACAAGGAGTACTGAGACATTCGGCGACCTGACACCTAGCTCCAACACTTCTCCAAGCCGCAAACCAACAACCTTCCAACTTGGAAGGCTCAGGTTCGGAAAGGTCCAAGAGGGGAAGGGAAGCGAACGAAGAAGAGCACGAGCTAAGCATCACGGCAACAAAGAATGCCGAAAGTTACTGGATGATGACGAAACTAGTAAGACTAGTTGGAAGGTTGTTGGTTTGGCCTTGGAGAAGTGTTGGAGCTAGGTGTCAGGTCGCCGAATGTCTCAGTACTCCTTGTCAGTTTTGTGCCATTTTGTCGCACTCCCTGACTGTATAAGATCTGGTTACGTTGGTGGACAGTTAGTCATAACTCTTAACATTTTGTCCTCCTTTTTTCACCATAATTTAGTTGGCTCACCATCCGAGTTAAACTTTGCACATCCGAATGGGTTAATGATAATGATGATGATGATGATGACGGTGGTGACGGTGCTTCATTGCATCGCTCTCTGCTCCAGGACCATGTATCACAATTGGATCCATTCTGTGCCCGTAAAAGTGGCTTTCCATGATGACGGTGGTCCCCAGGTTCCAGGACGGAACGGTTCTGAAGAAGACCGATTTCAGAGATGCACTACTCTGCATTCGCTACGGCCGATGTTTGGCAGGCCTTCCAGATACATGTGTCTGCGGTGCAGAACTGATCACACGGCATGCGCTCACCTGCGCAACCGGTGGCTATACGATAGCGCGCCATAACGAGGTGCGCGATTTGATCGCGCATCTGCTCCGGGAGGCCGGGACAGTGTACGTTGAGACGGAGCCGAGCTTTTCGCCTTGTGCCGGCGGGGATATTGCAGGTGGGCAATCCGTCAACAGGTGTGCCGAAGCTCGCCTCAACGTGCGGGCCCGGGGTTTTTGGTCGTGGCAACAGGATATTTTGATGTGCTGATCACTAATCCCACAGCGTCTGTGTTGTCTCGATCACAAGCCCTGAGTCAGCTGAAGGCTCACGAGCGCACCAAAAAGAACCAATACGCCAGCCGTGTGGTGTATGTGGAGCACGGTTCCTTCATGCCCCTGGTGTTGTCCACCTATGGTTTCGCTGGACCGGAGACTACGCAGTTTCTACAATCCTTAGCCTCGTTGTTCGTGGAGCGGCACAATGAACTGTAGTATTCAGTGGTCATGCGCATGTTGCGCACAAGATTGTCGTTTTGTTTGCTTAGATGGGCCGTCACTTGTTTCCGAGGATGCCGCGGATCATACAGTAACAGGCGGCTGTTGAACTCATTTGTTGCCCAGTGTCGCCAGGCTGAGTAGGCACTTGCCCTTGGCCAGGACAATAATTATGTACTTGGTGTTATTCTCATTTTATTTTACTCCAATATCTACCAGCTCAACATAATAACATCAATGTTTGGTTGCTGTTGTGTTCAATCATTCACAAATTGATTTTAGGTTGTGTTTGAGTTGATTTCCCTGATCACCACCTGGTTAAAACAATAACATCAATGTTTTATTGCTTTCGTGTTCAATTATTGTCAAAGTGGGTTTGATTTGATTTCCTCAATCACTTTAGTTTGATGAGATGCATGTTGACTTGCCCGTACATGTGGCTTTTTCCATGATGATGACGATGTCCTCCGTGCAACTGCCCCCCACCAGACATGCGTTGGTGTTCCATTAGCCTGCGAAGCCTCGGTTCATGCAATGACTTCCATGTTCACTGGACCAAATACGGAAGGTGTATTGTTGGTCGACGCATTGAGTGCGTTCAACTCGCTAAATCATCAAGCAACACTGCATAATGCTCCTCGCATTTGCCCTGCTCAAGGCAAAGTGTTTGCCAACACCTACAGTTCGTCTTTTCGTTGCTGGTGGCGGTGAGATCTTGTTACAGGAGGGGCCATGCCAAGGGGACCCATTGGCAATGGCAGCTAGTGTATGCTGCCACAGTACCTCTCATGAAGCACCTAGCAGCGACTTGCCCGTCGGTCGTCCAGTCCTGGTATGCAGATGATGATGCTGCTGTGGATAGGCTCCTGCAGCTCCGACAGTACTGGGATACTCTCGAACAGGCTGGCCGCGGATATGGCTACTACGCGAATGCAGCCAAAACCATTCTCGTGACGAAGTCAGAGCACCTCGATCGAGCCAGAGAGGTGCTTGACGGTACTCGTACCGGTGTGACAATAATTATCGGCTGAAGGAGCCCGTTACCTGGGTTGTGCGCTGGGATTGGCTAAGTATACGGAAGACTACATATCCGCAAAATGCGCTGCTGGGCACAGGAACTCAGGTCTCTGACTGGACTGGCGAGAAACCAGCCAGATGCAGCATGCATGGTGTTGACAAAGGGTCTGGATGGCAGGTGGCAATATCATCTCCGTGCCACATAGCACAGCCCTGAGGTTCTTCAGATCCCTGGACAGATCCTCGATTCGGAGCTTTTGCCAGCTCTCGTGGGTCATGAGTTTGATCCCAACAGCTCACGGCGGGAGCTTATAGAAGGGTGTTTCCAATTGGTTGTCCTCCATGGGGGGGCGGGGGCTTCTGGACCCGGCAGCAGGATGGCTTTTGACGTACGGGTAACACGCCCGAAGGCAAGCCTGCTGTCGCGTACAGATGTCCTGCGTCAGCTGAAGATCCAAAAGAGAGAATATTGTGCCAGTTGTAAACATTGTAGAGAGAGCATCATTTTACACCTTCAGTTTTTTCAACATCAGGCATGTGTGGGCCAGAGGGTCTCGTTTTTTGAAAAATTTGGTATCACTTGTTGTGGAGAAAAATCCTGAGTTGCATTATTCTGTAGTCATGGGACAACTTTGATCTGTATTGTTGCTGCGTTTGCTCCGCTGGTGTATTACGTGCATACGTGGTTCGCGGGTATCATACAAGCGCCAGCGCCACATCTTTTTAACAAGCTGCTGTACCCTTAGAGTACGTTGATGTTTATTGTGTCTTAAGTTGCTGTTTTTTAGGCCATCATTTTTTATATCTATGTTTCGCGTCGTCCGCACGCATACGTTTTGATTTTTTTCGGAAAAAAACAAAAAAACTCAACCATGCACAGTTAGTGTACGATCGTGCGAGTCATCAGTGTGGATCATGGACTGGTTGCATACGGCGAAGCTGGGATTCAGAAATGGCCTTGAGGCCAGCGTTGGTAAATCGTTTGTTCGGCATCTGCGAGCAGTATTCTATGAGCTTACAACAGACCGCATCGATCGCCTCAAGCTGAGAGGATGCGTCGTTCCGGAGCTCTTTGCACCTCTGCTGAAGGCTGAGTACAATAATCCAGCGAAGCAAGGGCACCAACGGTTGCCTCCTCTGTCCAAAGTGATGCAGATGTTGTGCTTCGATGTACGATTTTTCTTTCAGATGTACACCATGCACGAGCTATTGTGCTATGTACAGTTTTATACACCTCTGATGAGCTTTTTTTTATTATTTTGCAACTTTTTATTTTTTTCCACCTCTCGCATATGATTCTTGAAGTATTAGTTGAACTGACGCGAAACATAGATATAAAAAATGATGGCCTTATGTTTAATAAAAAAAACTCGGATGTTGAGCCAATAGTAATATGTAAAGAGAAAAGGATCTATAAGTTACAAGTACTTTTTGATGTTTGTTCTTTTATTCCATATATTGCTCTTGTTTGTTTGTTTGTTTGTTTTCACTTTGGGCATTTTCTACATGAGGTCTCCTCCAATTGGTGACCCCATACTCATTGTCCTCCACTGCCGCATGCTTGCGTTCCTTTCCATATTGAGTTCCACTGCACTTTGTGTTCATTTTCCTTTCTTTTCATTCCATTAAATTTTTATTTATTGCGTTTTGCTCGCCCGTACAAGAGGCTATTCCATGATGAGGCATGCACATGTACTTACACCCATTAAGTGGGCCACGGTCACAGTAAGCCCGATAGCGAGTGGTGCTACTTTGCCTGCGCCGTGATGCGGGTCAGTGGCAGCAAAGATCACCATGACCAATAGGAATGTAAGGATTATCTCACAGCCCAAACCTGCATTGGACACAGACACAGCACAGTTGTTGACATACATGCGCATGTTGGGATCGCACGACTTGCCCGGGCAGGGTGTGTGTGTGTGTGTGTGTGTGTGTGTGTGTGTGCACGTGCGTATGTGTGTGTATGTGTGTGTGTGTGTTTATGTGTGTATGTGTGTTTGGAGGGTATCCTTCACAAATAGCCCTGTGCATGTGCTCACGATTGTACGATCCTATGGTTCTACGATGTGCGGTATGACACTTCACTCGGTGGCTAGCTCTGCAGATACAGTGCATACAACGAAAGTACACGATTGTACAAGCCAGTTCAGGCTCTGCCGACACAGCGCATACAAGCCAGTTCATGAAATGCGAAACTGAAATCGAAAACGCACAAACAGGGGTCCGGGTGTTGCGGGCTACGGGCCTGCGACTCAGATTTCTAATAAATCTATGATCACCTTGGTGATCCTCTCGCAAGGCCGAGAAGCCAAACATTTTCTCGTCGTGTGAAAGGCCTATAAATTAGTGTCCATAGCGGGGAACACTCATACGTACTAGAAGTGGTGTACATTATCTTTACCACACACATACCAACGGCCATATACAAAGATGATCATTGAAATCCAATCGTGTGAGCCGAAGTTGGGCCCTGCGCCAGTTCACATCCCGGTGTTGGCAGGTCTAGGGATGCACAGCGCCCGGCATGGCGTTGACCCGCTTGATCGGATTTCATCGAGCAGCCCTGTACGTGTGTCAAGCTGCTATACGATAACATTCCCGGTACAGTCAGACCTCGCTTACCCGTACACATCCGTTTTCCACAAAACATATCCGAATAGGCGAGGGAACCGGATAACCGAACACCGGCTACATTGGATGCATCATGTATGCGGTAAGTCTGTAACCAGCTATTTTCTTCCGGATGGCGAGGCATACAGATAAAAGAGGAGCGGATAAGAGAGGTCCGACTGTACATGACTGTATATTATTATGTAACAGTTGCCTGATGATCGTAGTAATACGTGAAACTCAGAGTTGTGACACAGTTTCCAATCTCTCTCGTGTAATATTATGCAACGTTATAGCAATGCTTTCGAACAGCTATGCAGACCCATGCAGTCGACTACTGTAAAACCGGAAAGTTTAACGTTTTTGTAATATTGGCATAACTACGTGCAGGAAGTTTAACGATGGCTACCTTGGCCACCCATCTGCATGCGCATCTTTACTCAGACATCTCACGATAACGTTTAAAAAATTGGTCGTTAAGACGTTAGACTTTGTGACTCGTTAGACTTTCCGGTTTTACAGTAGGTTCTGCTCATCGTTTTTTTCCCATCCTAAATCAGCGATATACTCCACAAACAGTCAAACACCCATCACGATAACCCATCACATCACGATAACCCATCACATCACAATAACCCATCACATCACAATAACCCATCACAACAGCCCAGCCTGGTTGGAAGTTACCTTGGCCAGCGCTGAGCAGAGGGCCGATTTTGTTTCCCCCGAGGTTGCCACGAACGGTTGACGGCGTGACTCCGTAGAGGATGGATGCACCGACGATAGCACCAGTTAACTAAACAAGAGCACAGCGGCAACCCTGCGATTAGCAAGCACGTACAATGCTGAGTGTGCAGTGAACACTGTACAGTAAGACCTGGTTTAAGCGACCACCCCACCCCACCCCACCCCATCCCACCCCACCCCACCCCACCCCACCCCACCCCACGGTGCACGCAAAAGTGGCCGTTAAAGCCAGGTGGTCTTTAGAACCAGGTCCCATAGTTTCTGTGTAGAACTGTCCGCGCATGGAAAAACGGTCGTTAAGAGCAGGTGGTCGCTAAACCCAGAGGTCGCTTACACCAGGTTTTGCTGTATTGGTAGAAAGTCGAGTAGAGGATCCTTTTTGTATGTTGCCGCACACAACCTCCCTGGAATCCTATACTAGTACTTTGATATTCCTACCCACTACTAAACATGGCATGGCAATCTACTGGATCAGGCTTCCTCGCCCAGATTTTGCCACTGCACGGAAATCGTTCAATACCGGCAGGACGACGTATCCAGAGTGGAGAAATTGCACAACATGCTATAATTATCACGTCCGCATGTACTGCCCACTGTGTCCCTGCGGCTTGTCAGTGCAAATCATGATGACGGCTGCTCACCTGTGCCAGCACGTAGAGCACGCAACGTAGCGGGGAAATCTTTTGTGTTGCTAGCATTGCCACAGTGACGGCAGGGTTGATGTGACCTCCCGAGATCGCGCCCGTCGCCTACAGAAGCAGACAAAGAACAGCATGGACGCTCATCAATCATCATGCAGTCGAATCTGACAATCACGGACACCCAAGGGACCGAGGCCAAATGTCCTCAATAAGCAGGTGTCCTCAATTCTCAGTTTCATCCATCATCATACAATATGTACATCGTTATGGTTTTGTGTACAAAATGAATGGGACTGCGACGAGCTGTCCTCACTTTGCAGGTGTCCGTTTTCTCAGGTGTCTGCACGGACAGGTTTGACTGTTTTACCAATGACAAAGGACAGGATGGATGCTTATCGTGTTATCGAGGATGTATTGAGCAGCGCACGTGATCAGGTGTGGCAAACTATTTACCGTGCACCAAACACTACTTGACATTGCGTCACGACGCACTTACTTCAGTCTAGCACTCATGTACTGTACACACTGATGGACACTACTAGCGTAAATCATGATGGCTTGGTACGTACAAAGCACATACTTTGGCAATACACACCACATCTCTTTTTCAGCCAGGCACCTAAGAACCTTTGGGTGCCTGTACATGTACCTCAGAATTGTCCGAAACTGCGAAATACACTACACCTGTAATGTATATATGAGGCGTAATTTTCTTCAAGTTGCGCTCACTTGATGTTAACCAAGATTTATACCATGTACATGTATGTGCAATAGGACAGGAGGGCTAAGATTCTAATGCATTGAAATATTTGTTGAGGGATTTTGACAAACAGGAAGAATATTCAATTTTTTTTACTGCAAATGCATGCTCCAAGGTGCCTGGTTGAGTGAGGTGTCCGGATTCAAAGTCACGGTTCGACATGGGAGATGCAGATAAGAGATGCTCTACACTGTTCAATATATTATTATTCAAGAACAAGCAAAGTTCGCACATACGTATTGAGAAACACAAACTGCTTGTGTTCTACGATTGGAAACCTTTGTTCTGCATTCACATCACCGAGAGCATGCGGTACACAGTGGCGTATATACACTAGGTAAGGTGTTTCACGCAGCCTACCTGAACCAAAGAGGCAATGGCGAGGCCAAACGCGAATGCCACCCTCTCCACGGAGAATTGGATGCCGAAAGATATGATCGAGCCGCAGCCGACAAACACGAAGATAAGAGTTGCCAACGCCTCGGCGAATACGGCTTTCCACAGTGACACCTTAGTAGGGTCTTCTTTGTACCACGGTGTGTCCTCCATGTTGGAATGACTGTACGATCTTATTAAACACGCTGCTAGGCTGGATTAAATCAAGTGTCAATACAGCACAGATACCAACTTGAAGATGAGGGTTTTCCGCCGGTGTTGAAGCAGCTGCAGTCTGAAAGAACAAAGCCAGTACATGTACATGATCAATGGCTTCAGTTACAACTCTTCAGGATGACCAGCAAGGGACCAATGGACCTTTTTGGCCAAAATGGAGTTATTATTATCCATACAGTTAACACCCAGTGAAAGGGTTTCTTTGGCACTCACCTTCTGTACAGTTAGACCTCGCTTATCCGGTCCTCTTTTATCCGGATCCCTCGCCATCCGGAAGATAATAGCTTGTTACATAATACAGCATACGTGATGCATCCAACATAAACGGTGTTCAGTTATCCGGTTCCCTCGCCTATCCGGATATTTTGTGGAAAACGGACGTATGCGGTTAAGCAAGGTCTGACTGTATTATCGATTCACCCCGAGGGTGGGGCATGTACAGCAACTTGGTGAAGAAAAACAGTGGTTTGCAGCAGCACCAAGGCCATTATGTGTGAATACTGAGGCTTAGATTCATCCAACATACTGTAAAAGCAGAACTTCTCGGTGGTGTAATATTTTCTGTGTTATCCAAAATCGGCGGGTCGATGGAGGGAAATCTTCGGTAAACCCGATTACCAGGTAACTGTACTAGTACTAGTACCGAAATTTTCGGTGCGTTTTATTTTCGATAAAATTTCGGCACCATCTACATGTCCTGCAGAACAGTGGGGCTCGTGCTGTCTTTGGCCGCCCTCCGTGGTCGTCTGCCCGCGACCTGTTGGAGCGCATGGCAGTGTTCCGTGTCGCAGAAGTCTTCAATCAGAAGCTAGCATGCCTGGTGTGGTGCTGTCGTTATGCACTGGCAAGTCCAGAGTTGCAAGCCCTGCTAACCCCCGCTGCACCCGGCCCTACTCGGCACCAATCTGCCATGGGCCTGTGCGTGCCAGTTTCCCATTCGGTTGCGGGGCGGGGGCGCTTTGCTTGCAAGGATGCTGTATTATGGGATGCCCTCCCCAGCGACATCCATGCCATCCAGTACACTCGGCAGTTTCGCACGCAGGTAATCTCCTATACCTGTGCCCTGTAGATGCTGAAGACAAGCGAAATCTTCTGGGTTTTTCTGTTCTCTTTCTGTTGTACCCGATCTCCCTCTGATGTACCGCTGACTCTACGCTGAAGATCTAAGCATTTTAATTCTCATTCTCATTATAATTTTCAGATTCGCTTTCATGTTATTGGGTTCTATGCCTTGAATTTGTGAATCAAAATAAATCCAAACAAACAAACCAGGACCACGGCACGTGCATGGTTACCATGCCATCTCTAACCATGCGATGCCATCTTTCTAAGTTGCTGCTTCTTGACAGCCATGCACTTCGTGGAATTTGCATGGCCTTAGGTTTTTTTCCGTGAAATGCGAAATGTCTATACTGTCATCATGCAGGTTACAGCTAGCGGTGCCTGGTGCCGTAGTGGTGGCTTCGGGAAGTTCGGAACTTTGGAGACCGCTAGTGCACTTTATATATTTCCAGACTTGATAAACCCTCATCATAGTAATAATGAGTGTATTGTTAACTTGTGAGTTCACTACAGATATCGGTACTGCGACCCCACCGCAAAGCGAAGCGGGGCGACCGTGCGCCTCCGAACAGCACCGGCCTGCGACGCTCACATTTCGGTCTCGGAATTGCCGTATTTGTTGCATTGTTTTGATTTTTTTATAAACCATCGGCACTGCACTGCACAAGCACACGACTCGGGTAACAAACTATAATTTATATAAATACTAGCTCACATCCGTTAGTAGCTAATAACTAGTGCCTTACCGGTTCTGTTCCAAGTGGAGATGAAACTTGGACGATACTGGTGAAGAAAAACTCAGTCCGTCTTCGTGATAGAACCACTCACACTGGACAGCTGTTCTGCGGCGCAAAGGGTGACATGGACAGCGCACGGACGGCTTCAAACTGGTGACGACCAGACCAAACCGGGCGATGTTATGCATTGAGCTGATTGAGGCTGATCGGATCGGAGCGAGCGCGACCACGCTATCGCGCCGGGGCCCCTGGCCCAGACGAGCGCGCAGAACGCGGACACGGGGTCCCAGGTCGGATGTTGGGGCCAATGGCAAACTAGAGCAGTGGAGGCCGGCATCTCGATCAGGTAACATTACGGCACGGGTATACGGTAGATGTTGCAGTGGGACACCAGCGTCAGTGATTACTGATGGTCCTCCATTTGGAGTGGTAGGTGTTGATAAGTTCTTGGCGCCCACGACTACTGTGCAAGTAGCGCCGAGGATCAAACTACACTAATAAGTCTTACTGTCTTTGTAAACCAACTCAACTGTTCCTTACATTAATTGTAGTTGCTTCAAGTAAGTTCAAACTCGCTAACGCACGGTGTGTTCCCGTGCAGCCGTGCTGTGTACTCGTTGTGTTCATGAGAGTGATAACAAAACCGTGAACATAGTGAATAACAGTAACGCGCAAAGACTTGAAAGTAAAGTAAGGTGAGTTCGCACGTCCGCGTTTCAACCGGCTATGCAATTGTGTCGAGAAACACAACCATTGAACCAGCTTTACACTAACTCAGTAACTGCTGGTCTACCGGAGCAAGAAATCAGCCGCAAAAGTAGGCACTAGCAGCTCCAAGAGTACGTTCTGTACAGTCTGTACTCGTCGTGGTAGCTCTTGGTAGCTCTTTTCAAGGCACTACAATGCAGAACAATTCATGTATGATGTAGACTTTTGTAGTAAGTTAGTTTCGGAAAGCGACGCCTTGTGAAGTTGTGTGCACACCCCGGCGTAGCTGTGTGGTCTCTGTTGTAGTATGAGATTCAACACGGTCCTCGGCAAGTCCTGGCGTTTCGCTACGTTTGTAGACGTCGTGACGCAGAACGTAACACGGCACTTCCTCAGACTCAGTTCCACAACTACTAGTACTACTTCCAGCCATACATGCATGGCTGTATTCGTGGCCGTGGTGCTCGGCGAGCGCGAGCGCTAACGACGCGACAAACTTTGATCTTGCAAGGCACCTGTAGCCCAGTATGATGTAGGCAGTACTGTCTGTCCTTGACAAGCTGCGAGCAGCTGCAACCTCCTTCGCGTTTACATGGTTTATGCATGCACTAAACACGGAGAAACCATAGGAAATAAGAAATCGAGAGCACTGACCTGTTCAAGAGTATTACCGGGAGTAACTAATCTGCGTGGAGACAATAATTAGCCTAGTGCAACCATCTCTCCTCCAGCCGTATTGTGGTGTTCACACTTTATAGGTCTTCTTGTTTGCGTGGAGACAACAATGTGGATAAAGCTAATAATAAACAGGATAAACTGCGCACTCGTGACTCCATGCACAGGTGCAAGCGAGGTTAACGGAAGAACAGAATATTATTAAAAATGATAATACCCAATGCTACACAATCACGGTATTATGCAGAGGCATCTCTGCGGCAGAGACAGTGAACAGTTTCCAAATAAAAACAGAGAGCCGTGAGATTGTGATACAGTATGCTTGTCTAGCAACTCAGAGTCCGAGTTTCATGCACAACCCCAGGGCCACTCAGACATGATAATGGGGGGTATGCCGCTATTTGTGTGCCGTAGACCTACGGACTGTGCCACTACTAGTACAAGGAGTACCGGTATAATTATTCTTACATTCGCCGCATGCGCAAGGACTTAGGTCGGGAGCCCCTTTCCAGCTTATTGCCGCCGGCTGTGCTGACACGGGCAGAGGCGTGACCGTTCGCCTTTGCATGTCGGTAGACATTCTTATTAGGTAACGATTTGTCGTGAAGCTTCAATTTTATAGTTATTTCAATTGAATGTTCTATTTATTTCCGAAATTGGGTTGTCTTTTTGCTTTGACTCTTACTTCATGGTGTTGTGAATAAAACCGTTCTCAAGGTAATAACTACAGGATGCATGCAGGCATCACCAATCACCATAATACCCGGGATGCACTGGCATAGTGTGTACTTCGAAGTAGTACAATTCAAGGAATTCCAGAATTGCAGTTT